ACGGATGCACTGCCGCCCAGATCTTCTTCACTCGCGCCCAGCTGCCATTTGGGATGCCATGCGGCGTAACGGTGTCGAGACACACCCTTGCTCACCCCCTTCAGACGTGGGACAGTCGAGGATTTGAGTGGGACAGCCAGACAGAGAGAGAGAGATAAGGGCGCAGGAGGGGGAGGAGTTGGCGAGGGAGTTTTACGCTAAGCAAAACGTTGCTCCTGATCCTGGTTCACTTTTCAGTCCAGAGCCATGGTCAAGTCTTGGCTGAGTTTGTTGATGGACCAACCGCAGAATATCTATTCCATATGAGAGCAACCTTGTGGCTTTCAACAATGGCCGGCGTACTAGTGATCCCATCGCAGGACAACACCAGCAGACAGACATGGATGTTTGAGAAGAGAAAACGGGTTCTACAACGAGTTATTTAGCCGGCGCAGTAAGTTTTCGCTCCACTTGGTGCTGCAGCATCTCCAGTTGGCTCCATATCGATTATTATCTATACGAGGGCATCAGGCAAGCGATACTGGAAGCATGTATGAGGGATCAATGGCCTCGAATCACATCCAGAAAGTATGGAGGGGGGATCGATGTTTTCTTGCATAACTAGCTGGTCTGCAGCCACCGGGAAGGGCCCATGTTCTGCGATGGGAAATGAAACGGCACACATATGCACCCACGGCCTGACAGACCCCCTCATCCTGCACCCCGCATAATGCTTCTATCTTACTTCGCTCAGTTTTCGCCACTATGGAGGTTCTCGATCATTATCCGTTTCCCGGACTCTGACCACTACACTACTTGGGGATTTTTACGATATGAATAGCAACATTTTATGTGCCAACGTATGGAGGTACGGGTACTCGATAGGACTTGAAGAAACTGGCGTTCTGCATCGAGGTTGTATAACCTCCCATCTAACCCGACGAACTTCCGTCCTCTTGAGGGATTTTCCTGCCCATCCATCTCCACTTTGCACCTCCATCAAACATGCGGGATGGCATGCGGGATGCACGGAGCCGTATCCCGACCAAATTCCGGCCAAATATGCAACTGCATTGTCCTCACCTGGAAGATACGGAGTACTGGGCGATTATTAACGACCAGCTAATTCGGGTCTCATACCGCCCACGGTACACCAGGAGGACCGCGCTTTTTCACTTGGCATTCCAGCAGATTTCTTAGCCAACCTAGAGCCCGCCCCATTTAGTTATCTTCGCCTGCTTTTACACCTGTGGTGAGACAACCTTTCATCTTGCCTTCCCAAATAAAGAACTCGGGATTGGAAATCGGAGGGATACAGAAGCTAGCATCTATCGACAGCAATGAATACGGGTCCTCCACTCTTGCAAAGGGGGCTTCAGGACGCTAAATATACAAAAGCAAAGGGCCCCGAGATCTGGTATCCGTCCACTCAAAAAGAAAACTCATTGAGCTAACAACTTTAGCATGGCGATGCGATGCAGGAGAGATGATCTCTCCTCTTGGCTACGCGGTCATTCCTGGTCACTCATGGTAAACAAAAACATCTGATGTAATGATTCACCAAACCGCGCACCACGCTCAAGGGAATAAGAGTAAACACATGAATATTTCTGTACAAGGCCTAGTCTCTTCGGCCCTACTAACTAGTTATCCTCCATTAATCCGCCGCAGATACATATATGTTTTGAGGATGGAAATACTCTGCTCTGCGCTTAAATTGCTCGGCGTTGCTCATCTTGTTGAAAGCAGCAGTCGGAACCTTCATTGCTTGTTGACAGGGGCTCTCTCTCATACTCCGTTTTTCACACTGTGGGACTTTCTTCAAACCATGTCCCTTGCTCGTGCTCATCCTCCTCCGCGGGGGGCTACTTCGAAGCTCATTTGTCCATCCAGCCGATCGGCAGTATTCCAATTAAGCCACATGTTCGTGCCACGGCTATTATAGAACACCTTCCAACAATTTGGCTATTGTTCTATTTACCGCATAGCACGTATATTGCCATTGAGGGTGGACAGTATTGCTTCACAGGAAATGAGTTGTTATCATTGATGTTGGTATGTACACCTATATTTAAAATATACAGAACAAACAGCTTGCCTCAATTAAATGTGAGTGTGCTTGTGATTGGATGGAGTGGAGGAAGTCCAGGTTGCACATAAAGATATTAGGACATGTAACATAAAGCTACATGCTAAGTGCACCATTTTCTCGACGGAGGCGTACATTGGCTGAGAAGGTGCCAAGAACCCTCTTATGCACCGTATATATACAGCAAAGGTATACCATGTCTAAAGATGGCTGCAAGTATGCACGGCTGAGTCGTCGTACATACGCTGAAGAAATCTGCGAGAAATAACTTGTGGAAGGCCGATCAGGCGAAGGAAGAAGGGTATCATGGCATGCATATATTGAATCGACATTAGCTCATACTCCATCCAGAGACCTAGGTTATCCCTGCGACGAAGTCGGGCCTTTCTGTTGTTTCAGCTTGGCTTCGAACTGTGCGAACTCATGTGCGGCAATCTCTTCCTCCGGATCAAGTACCTGTGTGACGGACTTTACTTCTTCAATCTGTACATAAAACGCCAAGAATTAACAACGCGGGTTCAGAATTCCGGCGGTGGGGGTAGGAGCAGGTGCGGGAATGAATAAGGCAGGTGAACTCACGTAATGCATGAGCATAGACTCGATACCGTTCTTCAATGTCACGGTACTCGAATCGCAGGTTCTGCAAGCTCCACGAAGCTTTAGCAGGACATTCCCGTTTTCAAATCCGCGGAATTCTATATCTCCACCGTCTTCCTGGATAGCGGGCCTGATTCTTGTCTCGAGTAATTCTTGAATCATCCCAACAACCTCCTCATCTTCTTCGTTATATCGTACAGCTTCTTCCGCTTCCGCGCCCTCCGCTCCCTCTTTACCTTGTCTGACATCAACGACGTTTACCAGTGCCTCACCTCTAGTAATTGCTTCGGTAATCAGGCTGAAGATTTCCGGTTTGATATGGGCCCAATTAGCATCACTATCCTTAGTTACCGTGATAAAGTCCGAGCCGAAAAACACCGATACGGCACCGTCAACGTTGAGAAGCTTTGCCGCTAGAGGAGATGGATATGGTGGTTGTAGGGTAGATCGTGGGGTTAGGTATTCAAGGAAGGAAACCGGAAAGCCTTCAGGAAGGACAGGGTGGTTAGGCCGGAACTTGAGAGCCTAGTATAAACGAAAAGGATTAGATCAAAGTTCCGAGTAGCACAGCTTGCATCGGTATAAAGAGGTACATGGCACTCACATCGGCATTGGGAGTGGTATCCGTCTCAATGAATATAGTTCGCCTATCCGAAGGAACGCCGGTACGTCCTTGGGTAACAGGCTGGTGATGTCGTTGCAAGGTTGGCCGGTGATGCGCCAGCACAACCATCGGAGGTCTACTTGCGCTCGAAAGCCATCGTAACGATAGCTGAGGGCTCTGCCGTCTCGAGGCCGACAAGGGGCTAGACACTGCCCTGGAAAGCACACGGGACAGAGGCCGTGATGCCATGGTAATTCACTCTCGTTGCTGGTGATGTGAATAGCAGTAGAAAATCCGGGGAGTTGAAGTGAGTCTTCAAATTCAAAGCTTTTCTTTGGCCCGCAGGAAGTTTGACGTTCAGCATTAATAATAAGGTTAATAATTCTTCCATCCGAAACTTTATGCCTTCTAATTCTGTAATAGGAAATTATAATGACGATCCTATGTGCACGTGATGTGGTACCGCCCGGGCCCGGGCCTGGGCATAAGATTATGTCATCGGTCTACTATTTTATATGGTAGCAGAAAGATCATCATCATTTAGACGGTCTTCAAAACGAACAGTCAACATATGGTTGGAATACTTGAAATGGAGACTCCTGCATTTACAGAACCTCAGGGGAAAGTTTGGATATATTTATCTTCTGACGGATTTCGTTCTCCTGTCTTGCTTATGGAGAAAGCTTTAGGCAATACCACTGAATACCAGCAGCCAAGGCACTCGATGTTGACGGACGCTGATATTGTTGATATGACCTGTAGACTTTCTTGCATGCACAGGCCTCATATTACACGTCCATAAAACAGTACTCCTCATTTGGCTTCGTTGAGCGTCCGCACACGGCTTCACATTTTACTACGTTAGAGCCGTAAAAATGAGCAGTATTGCTTATGCTGGGTTGATACCCTAAGGCGATGGAATCTGGAGGATCAAGACCTAGGGTCCCTGTACATTGGCTAGGAAAGAACCATTCTGGTGCCATTATGAGGTCATGTTGACCTGCTGATTCTTATTAACTCCTGTGGCACCTCTATAAATAGAAGGGCTATCAACTTCCTGGCTGACCGTCACATTTACACTCAGGGCAGGATGGCTCCTTTAGTTACTCATTGTGGCTGTTGATGTTAGTGCGTAATCACCGTTTTTTGTATTCTTTGTAAATTGCAATATATTATTACCACAAGGACTTTACAAATTCACCTGTAGCAACGCGGGGATCCATACATGTCTGTCCGTATAAAAGAAACCCCCTAACGTCCATTTGAAAATCACACATAGAAGCTCATGTAGAAGGCAGTTTTTTTCACAGTTCATAAATATGGGTATACAATAATACAGGTAAAGGCAGTCCAGACGGGACGGCAACCAAGGTGGAAAACCAAACAATATAAAAGGGGAGATAGGCAGGGGTAGATCTGCTTTGAGTATGGCTGAAACCAAAGTACAGAAGGATGGGCGGGGGAGGAAGAACGGAGGAAGAAATATGTCAGGCATTAATTTAGGTATATGAGGAATGTAAAATGATGATGATGATGGTGGTGGTGATGAAAATAGAATATTTCCTCCTGACGAGTAAAAACCACATCCCTCCCTTTCCTAACCAACCCGGATAAATGAGCCAACGCTGGAAATTGTAAATTGTATCAAGTGTGTTGGCGGGCCATATTGACACTCTATTACAAGAAATAATAGATCGTATCAAGGACATTACTATCATAACAATCATCAGTTCAAGGTCGTCTCCATACAAACCGTTTGCGTCCTGGATCCGGGATGCCGCTAGCGGATGCTTCCACTTGCATGCTCCGGCTGTAGAGTTCCTTCAGGGTGCCGTCAGTATCAATGTGTATGGTACTTATAGGGTGAGGGGAGGGCAGATACAACTAACCTCTTCATCTCCTGCAAATTTCGCCTCGAGGATCAACCATTGGGTGATATCATGCTTGGTATACGTGGGAAATGAAGTTTTCTGGCTTTGTTGGATGGAGAGAATGACGTCTCCCATCACCTCGAATTTCCGCCAATTAATTCGGTCGTTGTTCGCGCCGACAAAAGTTTTATTACCCTCCTCTGCAGACACCAGGTCGCGAAGGTGGAGGGGTAGGAACGGTATTCTTTCGTTGAAGGAGTTTCCCCATGCGAGTCGATATGCAAAATGACTCTTTTCAGTACTCATGAGTATAACTACACTCATAAATTGCTTCTGTAGGGTTGGAGGGACTAGTTCGCGAGTCTGTGATAGCCGTGAAACCGGCGTTCCATTCAACCCTGCAATAACTGCGCCTAGCGCATTATAATTGTTAAGTTGGCGGAGTTTCTTTGATATGGAAAAATTCCTATTAGCCGAGAACAACTTGTATATGGAAAGGGATGGAGCAACGAAAGGAAAATAATAAAAAGGGGGTGAGCCTGGACGAACGGAAGCCCGTAATAACTCACCAATGATATATTCATAAACTTCTCCAGCGCCTGGGCTCGGTGTTTTGCCTTGTCTCGAAGCAGTACCATACTAGCGACAAAAAAGGCTAGGTGATTAAACGATTTGATCATCCTGTTCACATTTTCTAGGTATGCCGACGATTTCCCCTTATTCGGACCAGACAAGCTGACATGTCGAATAAGTTCGCGCGGCCGGAAGGAACTGTACATGATCCAGTCCATCCGGGTCACTTCCCGGGCAAATTCTTCGTCGGGGATGTCCATGAATATGCGCCACTGGGTTTTTGTTAGAAGATTCCGCGGCACAAGCTCGAGTTTCTGGGCTTCCTGCTGGGCGGATTCAACGGTAAGCAGGGTTCGAAAAGATTGGCTGGAGATGCTGCCGGCCCTGTCTGCACTGGAAGTGGTGGAGAGGTTGGAGTTTTGCGAGGAGAGGTCGAGGTCCATGTCGCTGATGTTGAAGTTACCCATGGACTGGGACATGCGGTTTGAGGTTGTATCCACAAACGGGTCGGTAGAATCGGGTAAAGAGTCCTCGTCGGTGTAAGCCCAGCATAAGTCATCGTCTTCCACAAATTTTTCGAGGTAGGAATTCATCTCCTTTGCAGCAAAGGCGAAGACGATATTCTTCTCGAGTGAGGCAATGAACTCGATCAGTAGCCTCCGGGTTTTGGCTCCAGCAAAATCTCCGGGGTACTCCGAAACCCATTGTGCGAGGACGTTTAGGAATCTGAGCTGGTCTGCGTGACGGGTGAGCAACGGCGATCGGCTGCAGTTGATGTGCTCGAAGCGTGTGATGATGGCAGTTAAGACTTGAAAGGGAGTAGCGAATTTCCGATAGAGACAGAGGAAGATGGCGGGGAATTTTGCATCCTGTTTGGACAAGGGCAAGGAGAGCAGCCTGTCGACCAACTCGTCAAGCGTGCAGCCGGTGTCATCCTGTTTCTCCTTTGGCTGCGTCTGACTTGAAGGGCTTCCGGCGGATCTTGAGTCGTCCAGCTCATCGTCCATATCAAGGAAGCTGCTGAAGGCGTCTGAGCCGGAGCTGTGCCTCCAAGTGGTCCTCAGGTTTCGATACCTGGCTTTGCCCGGAGGCGAATCCTCGACGATGGTTTCTGAGGCGCTGCGGTTTGATATCGTACTCCCGGGTGGTGTTCTTGGCGGCACGGGCTGGGAATTACTACGGGCATATCTCGAACCGCCGTGAGCGCCAGGGGCCAAAGTCGAACTGCTGAACGTATCGGCGTGGCCACCGCCGCCGCCGCCGGATCGGTCAGACCTGATGGTGTCGCTGGTCGATGGTCTGGGGTTCTCGGAGCTTGCCCGTGTATGAGGTCGATTGCGGGGGACAGGTTGGCGAAGTAGTAGAGTAGTGCTGCTGTTGCTGCTGCTGCTGCTGCTGCTGCCGGACGGTGCGAGATTCGGAGAGGAAGAGGCGGAGAGAGGCAAGCGATCTGTCGTAGAAGAGGCTACATCTGCAAGGGAGAGCATTGAGACGTCAGCCGGTGCGGCAAGACAGCGTGAGAGCGGTTCAGGGGGCGGACGCTTTGAAGAGAATATATCATGCTTGGAGAAGAAAGGGGAGGTGGTGAAAAAGTCGGCTGCAACCAGAACAGGGGGGAGGGAAAGAGTAAAAAAAAAAGAAGCAGAAGACGAGCAGAAGGACTAAAGGCTCGACTCTGGCCGGCAAACTCGAACTCATAAGAGCCAGAGCAGGGGGATAGCGCAGAGTTCTTCTTCTCCTGCCTCGTCGTCTTTCCTCGTCTTCGCATTTTTCTTCTTTTCTTTTCTTTTTGGGCGGTGCGAGGCGTGGGTGGAGAAAGCCGGGAGCGAGTTTAGCGTGATAGACAGGGGGGATGAAGCAGCAAAAGCCCCGAGGGGAGCCAGAACAAACGGAGGGCGGGCAGGCAGAGGCAGAGGCAGACGCTCTTTGGTTGGAATGTTCGCCTTCCAGGCTGTGTCTGGCTCGTGGTGAATTGGAGAGAGAAGGAAGACGGGGTCCAATACCGTCCATAGTGAGTGGGTGTTTGTCTTCTTTTCTTCTTCCCAGACGCATACATATACACAAAAGGGGAGGGACAAACAGACGACAAGCAGAGCAGGGGAAGAAGAGAAGGAGGGGGGAAAAGAAGAAGAAGAGGAAGAAAAAGAGGACTGGACATACCAGCACTGCGCATGATGATGGCTCGTAGGATGGTCGAGATGCACTTCTTGTGGGATTCTGGATGGCTGGCGGAGATTCTCTGCACCTTCAACCCCAGTAGTGACCGGCATGCTTGCACCAGGGTTAAAGGGTCCTGCTGGGATTCATTCTGAGGGCCATCGCATTTGCAGGCTATCACGAGGAAAGGGATGTTGGTCGACTTCCGAAGGGCATCTAATAATATTCCGTCCGTTCAGCAGTTGTACCAGCAGCGCTGATGACCCGGCGGAATCCAGGCAGAACAAACGACGCAAAGAAGGGCAAAAAAGAAAAGAAAAGAAAAGAAACAAACAAGCGAGAGCGACACCGACACCGACACCGACACCGAGGGAGAGGCTGGGTCTTACCAAGGACCTGTGGGTACTGGGACACGCTGCGGAGATCGGTCGAATCGAAGAGGCAGAGAACCCCGTCGATGGGAGACAGCGCCTGCTCGCCCAGACACTTGGGCCACACGATGCGGCCGCGGTCGTCCAGGGTGATCTTGTGGATGGCGATTTCCAGCAGCCGGACCACGTAGATAGCTCCGTCCATGGACATCTTCTTGATCGAGGACCGAACCAGCGGCGTCTGCTTCAGGTCGAGCGCGCACTTGACAAACGTCGACTTGCCCACGCCCGCAGCTCCCACCACTGCTAGATTCACCTGCGGCAGCTGGTGTCCAGACGTAGCAGCCTATACACGCCGTTAAGTTAGCCGGGGGGGTCTCTCTCGAGGGGGATATATATTGTCTATAGATCTCGCATTGCCCCAATGCCCTCGGGCAGTCCCTGTCCGGAGCTAGAGAGGAGCAGACAAAAAGAGCACACCATCGGGATATCACATCCGGGGGAAGAAAGATCTGAAAATATCTCGCATACCTCCTCCGAGCTGTCCTTCTCCTTCTCCTTGTCTTCGGGTTCCTGACCCGTCATCGTCGCCTCGTTCTCTGCGATTGCCGTAAACCCAGCGGCGTCCTGCTTGCCCGAACGGCCGGCCTGGAGGTGCAGCTTGCCCACGGGGGCCGAGTATGTTCGGTTCTGGAGCGGCGGGCGAGCTGGACGTGCGGAAGGGAGACCATCACGCCCAGCGCTGGTTGACCGTGTCCTGGCGAGGTTCAGGGAGGAGGCGGACATAATATATATACTATATATATAATTTAATATATGTTATATATAATATAGAGGTATGTTATGGGTTCGAGTGGGTGTCTGTGTGTGAGACAGAAGGCGTTTGAGGTAGAGCTCTCTCTCTCTCTCTCTCTCGCGCGCGCGCAGTCTCTCTGCGTCTCTCTCGCCGTCTTCCTGTCGGTCTTCCTGTCTGTCTGTCCGTCTTTGGTCTTCTGCTGTTTCTGCTGTATCTGTCTGTCTCTGCGTGTGCTCGTCGCAACGCAGCCCGTCTGATGGCAGGGGGCAACGGGATCACTGCTGCATGTCTCCCGCAGGAGTCTTCAATGCAGTCGTCTTTCTTCCCCTAAGCCAGCCCGGCGCTGTTCTACTGCGAGTGATGCTCGCTCGTCATCGCCAGCCGCCGAATTGAGAGTCGCTTCCCGTGTGCCGGCTGCTGCTGCTGCTTGCTGCTGCTCTCTCGCGGGACGACGGAGGCAAACCCAGGTGATAGATAACAAGCAAGCAGAAGATGCAGCAGGCGGCGGCGGCGGCGGCAGTTGTTCCTGTTGTGTTTTGTGTTTTCTTCTTCTTCTTCTTCTTCTTCTTCTTCCTTTTCCCTGCGTTGGAGACAAGCAACACCGCGTTTTGACCGGTACAACGTCGCAGGCAGGGTCGACACAGGCGGGAGAGAGCGAGAACGGCTGATCGGAGGTGCGTATATATATATGACTAGAAATCGACAGATAGAGTCGAGATGCCAGGCCGGAGTCGAGCGGCGAACGACGCAGCAGATCGATGATGGGGGTTTTTTTTACTTAGTGAGACAGCAGACGCTCCAGGATGTTTGTTTTTTTTTTTTTTTTTTTTTTTTTTCTTCCTCGTCTGTAACAAGAAGCAGAAAACGCTGGAAGGACATCTCGGCCTGTCTCTCGTCTCGCTTCTTTGCTTTTTTTTTCTCTCTCGCATTCACAGGTCTCTCGCCGTTTCTGCGTCTCTGCGTCTCTGGCAGTGTCTGGGGCCTTGCCTTGCTATCGTATCTACGGGCTTGTTTTGCCTGCTGTCTGTTTTGTCTACGTTTGATCTACAGGCGGTAATGCTGGCTGGCTGCGCATACATCAGACAGGTAGCATTTCGCCAGGGAGGATAGAGTTGAGGGCTTCTCCGGCGCTCTTAATATAATTTCTTCGTCTTCTGCTTCGTACGGAGTAATCCTGGTCATGCTGTAGAGTTATAATAGCAATATAAGACAAAAAATATAGATCGAGTGGTGGCAAGACGCCTTTTCATATCAGCATCATCCATCATCATCCATCATCCTGCCAGGGGCAACAGAAGGCAAAGGTCAGCCCGGCGGAGATAATGTGTGCAACAGAGGGGAAGGACCCTTCCATTCAGCTTGCGTTCAGCTGCCAGGCTGTGCGGCCAGGGGAGAGCGAGTCGCCTGCTTCGAGCTTATTCTTGGTAAACGCTGGCCCTGTTTTCGTTTCCTTTCTTCATGGTCTTGTGGCCTTGGACGGTAGTCTGTTTATGCAGAGATGTTGACTCCGTGGAGTCGACAGTTCGGGATAGACGAGTCCCAGAGCCTCGCCCCGTCTTCTAAGCAGCTAGCCAACCGCCGTCCCACTCTTCGGCTCCAGATCGAAGGCCCATCTGCCCTCTAATTCGTGACTGTCCCAGTGTAGAATGGGAAGTTCCATTTGACCGTTGGACCCCCTGTATCTATATTCATTGGCGTTTCAAACCATGCTAGAGAAGAAAAAAGGTACCTGTGTTTCGGGTCCTCGACGGGTTTGTTATTCGTTTACTCCCCTCCCCTGAGACGGATGGATCCCCATCTAGCAAACTTGCGGGGAGCAAGAGAATGGGTGGGTGTGTCAACTCGTCTGTATACTGTATGTACACTTGGTGTGGTAGGACCAAAGGGGCCATTTGTGACGAAAGAGATCACATCTGCAGGTCCTTGTCCTGGGAACTGGATATAAGGGATCAGCATCTCCGCTCCCGAATAATAACGGACCCCTTCGCTTCTGTATGTCAGCGTCAGACGACAGATCATGTCTCGACGAGGCCATGTCCAATCGGATGGGACTCTCATTTTCTTGTCCAAGTAACAGCATTCTTCCAAGGCGAGAAGCGAAAGAGTGAGGCTATGTATAGGATCACACATACACACCTTTTTTTTCCCTTTTTAAACATTCTCATAACACCCCACGATCTGCAGGATTTAAGCAGTCAGTTGTCTGTATAAACGTAAAGAGAGCGTACGCAGGCTGCACACGGTGCGATCGGTCTTCCTAAGGGTACCTCCCATAAACCATAAACGGTGCGCACATCCCGGCAGGTTGGTAGCTTTTTCGCCTCAGCCAGTCTTTAGAGTAACGCGCCGCTTAGCCGGTTCCTGTTTTTGCTTCCATATCGTGACCCCTATTACTCATATTCCTATCCATATCCATATCAATAACAAGAGCAATAAAGCGTCGAAATGCCTCATCCTCAGCTCCGCCGGTGGCGTGTCTCGATGCACCGCCATCGTCGTCACACGCTTCTCGCCATTTGCGAACCCTTCCAAGTCCGCGGTTGAAGCCCTTCTCCGCCGTCCAGGGGCCTCGGTTCCTCCCTCTGGACGAATGTGACCCCCTGCCTCGCCCGCGTCCTCGTCCGCGCCCCCGTCCGTTGCTGTTGTCCAGCCTCGCCTCTTCAACCCACTCCTCTTCCAGTGTTAGACTGTAAATCTCCCGCAACCGAGCCCGGAATCTCGGGAATCGACTCCATAACTCCTGGAGCTTGGGCGAATTCTCAAGACTGGAGAATCTCTCTTTCGATTGCCCAGGCCCCGTAGCTGTGGCAATGCCAGTAGCAGCTGATGTAGACGTAGAGGTAGCTGGGGCTTCGGCGTCGTTGACGGTCACCGCATTGTCGTCTCCCAGTATATCAGCGTTTTGGGACGCAGGATCTTGTGCAACTGGAGAGCAGCTCGTCTTATGAGCCTTTGAACACGCCAGAGAGCAGCTATGACAGGCAATAGTTAGTATACACCCGTAGATTCAGCTTCGTCTTCTTCGTCTTTTCGTCTTCGTCGTCTTGCCCGGGGAGGACCTACCTCTGCACGCCGCAAGCTGGACACCGGTACTTTGCTTGCTCCCGGGAGCAGACCTGACACGACACGGCCATCAGCTCCGCCTCATGACCCAGGTACAGCTGAGCTTCTTCTTCCTCTTCTTCCTCCTCTCACGACGGCCTCTGCCTGGATCTGCTTCCAATGCATCCCTCGTCGTCGCCGTCTTTTTGTGCTGGCGAAAAGGTAAAAAAGGAAGGAAAAAAAAAAAACGGTCGATTCATGCCGCCGCTTTAAGAGCCTCGCCAAGCCGCTGCGCTCTTTCCAGTGCTCTTTTAAATATAACTTTCACCTGCCAAAAAGTCGAACGAAGGAAAGAAACAAACAAGACGAAGAAAGACGAAGAGAGAGAGAAAGACGGAGGAGAAAGATCAAGCCAGCTCAGTCAGCATGACGAACGTGCCAGCGAGGACTCGCTCGGTGTACCGGGCCATACTACGCGAGCTGCCTTCCCGGCCGCGCTGCTCGCCGTCTCCCCTCCAGACCAAGATCCGCCAGCACCTTTCTACCGCACCCGCCGACGCCGACGCTGCTCGGGCGCAGCTGGAAGAAGCAGAACAGTTTGCGCAATATGTCAAGGCCCAGAGACAGTATGTTACGCTGCTGGAACGATATAACCCCGGAGCGGACATGGACCAGGAAGAACGAGTCCGGTTGACTGCCAGGAGAGTCGGCATGAGCCTGCCAATTGAACACAAGAACAATTCTTCATAAAAAGTTGCATGAGGGTTGATGTTCAGATATATCAGCGTTAAATTACCCATGATTGGACGCGGCGTGGCGGGATGATTTTAAGGCTTATTAGTTGGCCGTGGTATGCAATTTGTTCTTCTTCTCTCCCCTACTACATTCTATGCTGTTCGGGTAAGCTAATGTGACACTCTCGGGCAGGTGTTGAGCGTATGGGATAGCCATAGCGAAGGCTGTTTGAACTTTTTTTTTTCTATCTTTTACACTGTATTCTAGACACATTGTACAACAACAACTACTACTGCAAAAATATACCCGGACCATAATACCCAAGTTTCATGTTCGTCTCTTTATTGAGCCCTACCGTTGGGGGACCATCACCAGAATGACCTGTCTCATCATTGTTAAGCCGCTGATCCTTGAGTACATCAGTCATCTTGCAGGCTTCAGACCGCCTACAAACGACCATGGAGGGCTGTGACGGGTTGCGGCAGCTCTTGGGGGCAAACAGGGGCTGGGTCTATACTTCGACCATGTCTATACGGCCACCGCATGCTTCGATACTGCGGACCAGTGCCGTTGCAAAGAGTTTTTTCAACTGCACCAATAGAACCGATAGCCATGATATCCAAGATATATCCAACGACAAAGGATGCTATTTCATTCAAAAAGGCAACCAACTATATACATGGCCCTGCTAGTTACCTTCACGGAACCAAAGAGGCTACAGGGTTTCTAGAGATATACAACATTTATACGGTTATATATATAACACTCTTCCCAAAAAGACGACCAGCACCAGAGCCATGCAATCGATTGGTCAGGTGCATCTGTAAATGTAAAACAAGGCAAGCTAGAGCAGAAAACTTCATCACTTCATCTAGATCAGATTACCTATTAAATCTGTAAGAAGTGTACCAAGGAAAGAGTGTAGTAATGCTAAACACGTAGACATCCACGGATGTTCGGTCAAAGAGCACTAGAAAGCGAGTGTTGCTCTAAAAAACGACGAAACGAATGAGAAAAATGCATGAAACCCCAAAAATCAGCGCCTTTTAGATGCATGTCACCAGAGTACATTAGCTGGGAAAACAAAGAGGGAAAAAAAAAAAAGATAGGAAAATATGATAGGAAAGCCAGATCAGAGCCTGTGTTCTGTGCTCATGCCATGGTAATGGGCAGCTGGATGTTTAACGAGTCCAGCTCGGAGTGTGTTGGGGATGTAGGAATGAGATGTATGAATGAGGAGTCGGAAATGGATGGTAGGAGGTTGGTATGGTTTGACAAAGGAAAATTAAGGAAAAGGAACAAAAAGGAATCTCAGGTTTAGATGACGGGACGGGCCTTGCCGAAGAATCTAGAAATGATTCCTCCGGTGGCTGATCCTGCGGTCTTTGCACGTTTCTGTGGCTGTATCTCGGTTGGGAAGTGGATCGCATGACTCTTGGGCTTGGGGCGCATCATCTGGATGTCGACATAGCTATAGGCCAGGTGAGAAGAGCTAGGGCTCGTGCTACCGTCGGCAACAACAACCTCATGGAAGGATGAGGCAGTGTTGATGCTGGCCGGCGTTCCTCGGGAGCTGGGAGCCAAACTGGAAGATCGGGACGAGGAGCCGTGGTTGGAGTCGGCATGACCGAGAGCAGGCAGGTCGAGGACAGAAGGCGGGGAAATAGAGCGACCCGATCGCTGCAGGGATTGCCGACGTTTATGACGAGCGATGCGGTCACTTGAATTGTCCGCGATTGAACGGGGAGAATCGTAGATGCCGGCCTGCATACCATAGTCACTAGGGCCACGAGCAGGGCTTTGGTCACGAGATGCTTGAGCTAGAGCTGCACGTACGGCAAGCTCTCGTTCACGCTCACGCTCACGCTCACGCTCCATCTCCATGTCACATTGAGCCTGGATGTGGCTGCGAATGGGAGCAAGGAAGGGCTCGAAGTGGATGAAGAGGTCCTCCTCGTTGACACGGGTGTCCCAGTCGAGCAGATAGAGAAGTTGGCGTTCCATCAGGTTGACTTCTGGCAAGGAGAAGCCGAAACCCTCATAGCCTTTGACCAGGGTGTATCTGGACCAGTGCTTGTTCTTTGGGCTCGAGTCGTTGAGGTTTTTGGCAGCCAGAATGAGAGCAGCGAGGAAGATACGATGGGAAGTGCATCGCATGCCCTTGGCCACTGGCGGTAGCTTGTTCTTTAGACGTGCTAGGAAGACAAGAGATGTCATGAGAGTAGGGACCTCGACATGAGAACGGGTAACAAGAGAGAAGATAAACGACTCCAATGGTGGCAGGGGAGGAAGATGAGGCTCGTCAGCTGCCTTGAGATCGGGAGACGCTGGCGGTGTGAGAGTTCCTTGCTGGGTGACTGGTCCTCGAATAGCACGGTCCTCGCATCTAATAACCATAGATGATT